ATTCATCCTTTTTATGTCTTTTAACTTTTATTTTCTATTATATCTTGGACTGGATTCAGCCATAATGGCTGCGTGTGTGGATTGTAAACTGCAACCATCACAGTTAGGGGAGGACATTGTTTTCACTCTCTCTCCTCATCTCTCTGTCTGTCTCTAATCATGTTAATTTTAACAACCAGTGTGGCAGAATTAAATATGACAGCGACATAACTGTTACGAAGAAAAGAGATCCCTCCTCTGTTGTACTTCTTGATGTCACTTCAATTTTGTCCATTTTTTGGAGAATTTATAGACCAAAGAACTGTTGATATTGTCCTATGTAAATTCATATTTTGGACTGTATTATGCGAAGGTGGTTTGAATTTAAACCTGGACAAGAGCATTAGACTGACCTGAGTTTGGGGTTCCATTCTCTATCTCTGTTACCCTATGGTCCCAGCTGTCTTGGTCCAGCATCGGTGAGTCAGTAGGCCATGTCTGGCCTTCTGACTGAGGTGAAAGCACAGGGGATCTGGCGGAAAAGGGTCTATTGCTAGGCTTCCTTTGTAGTTCACCAGTCAAACTGAAGCCAGACTCAGACCTCTCCAGCCCACTGATGGAACCAGATAGAGTGTCAACCTGAGATTTGTTGCTTGGAGTCATCAGAGCGTCATCATCCTGCATGCTGATGTTACTCTGACACTCTGTCTCGATCCCTGTAGCCATTAACACCAGAACATCTGCAAAATAATTAACATCAACATAAAACTTTTTTGCATTATGAGAATGTGGATCAAACAGAAGTCAAGACATACCTGTGAAAGAAGCAGGGAGGAAAGTGAGGAGGATCTGCTGGGGGCTGATGTACTTGGCGTAGCACCTCCACTGTGGCACAGAGCAGCTGCTATCTACCAGTAAGGGTTCGTCATCCACAAGGTCTGCATTACTGAAACTCTGCCAAAGGCAGAGGGGAAACGTATTTATAAATGAAGCTGTAAACATTCAGAATAGCACATAATGTAGAAATGTATCACAACTGTATAAAAAAAATCTTATTTTAATGCCAAAGAACTATTATATATTGCAGCCTATATTTTGAATTTCCCCTGTGTTTTCTAAACATAGTTTCACCAGTCACATTCGTAACATTTTCCCAGCCGTAAGAATATAATTCATAACCATTTGAGAAAATAAAGGGAACAAAGGCAAGGATGACAAAAAACATGACAAGGATGAGGAGAGGAAAAGGAAGAGAAAAAGCACATGACAGACAAGAAGAAGGAGATTGTGAGAGTGTGAGTATATAGGGGATGGTTGTGATGTATCGGACCTCCCTAAATGGGAACACACATTGCTTTGTTCTAAAGTCAAAGGAGGGCCATTAAATGTAGACTCCATTCAGACCTGGTACGAACATCCATCCTGATGTTCGCATCAAAACAGTCCATCAGAGCCTCATCAGTCTCGTCAGACCACCTATTCACTGTGTGGGTCACAGCTGTTTGTCTGTGCACCATTGGTTTGTACACTGGCAGGAAATGAACCAGGAAATAATGTGGAAGTAGTCAGTGCCAGGTATGGATCATTATGAGGTGATCAGTGTTGATACTGTAGCAGTGTCCACAAACAAATCCACTTGTGGTCACTGAGAAGCATAAAAATGGGTGTGAAGTCTGTCCCTGCTCTCTGGAGCTTCTGACTGCCAAACATGCCTGTCTGAAGTAGACCACTACAACTCTTCAAGTGGTTGTCTAAGGATCAACCGAACAAGTGGGATTTAATGCCAGCAGCCACGACAGGCTCTTACCAGCTGATGTTTTAAGGTTCAGAGGGTAGAGCAGGTTGTCCTTGGGCAAGACACTGAATCCCTCTAATTGCTTCTGATGGTTGTGTTGGTCATGTGTGATGTGGTGTCTGACTGTTGTCTAATGTTTCTCTTTCTACATTTCCACAAAACTGCAAATCTATAAGACTTCACAGTCAACAGTGCACTTCCTTGTGTAGTCAACAATACACAATACAATTGTGTTACCTGTAAAGTGCTGGTAGATCCCATCACCTCTTTGCTGCTGCCAGTAGTGTGAAAGGATGTCATAGTGTCCTGTCTGTCTGGACGCTTTACACACTCCTCTGACATGATACAAAACATAATAAAGCAGAAATTGTGAAGGAGTAGAAGACACAGTAACTTATCAGGGGGCCTCTGTATGTATCTGATAATCCTGGACACCACAACATACAGCAAATGTCATCACCTCAAAGCTTGGCAGGTCTATGATGACAAAGTAACGCAAGGAACAGCTGCAATGACATTCAGACACACTGACCTTTGCTAATAGGAAAGGAAAACGGAGCAGCGTGGCCGTTTCGTTCTCGCTCTAAGATGTGGTGCATGAAGGCGACATGATCACTTTCAGCCAACAGGATCTCTCTGTCAGTGAGCTCATGCTCCAGGCTGCTGTGGAAGAGGCTAAGCAGGAGCTCGTTTGGCAGACAGGGGGAGCTGTGATTTTGCTTTGCATTCTCCATCACTTAGGACAAAAAGTTGAACACACATTACAACAATCATATTTTTTGAAAAAAGGAAATGTTTAACTGGTATTATTTGACTTTTCCAGATTTTCATTTAAGTTATTTTAGTTTAAGGGATGTGTATTATTCAAATTTTTGAAGTAAACTGAATAAGATTAGTACCTGTACTGAATGTGTGGAAGAGGAGTTCAACCTGCTGGCATTTTGGAAGCAGCTGAATAAGGTCAAACTGAAAAGGAATCATGTGAACATTGTCCTCAGAGGCCACAGCTCCTCCTGAATACACAAGAAACCCTTTGTTAAGATACTGTGAATGAAACCCAACACTTAATGTTGATAAACGCCCGTTTTAAATAATGGTTTTGTTTTCTATGTAGTTGTTTTCTTATGCATTCTTATTCATGTATTCTTATACTACCCAACAGTAATACAGTTAAAAAATGGCCAGTTAATTGCTTCTTATATGTACTGCTGTGTAAATGAATGCACATCAGTTAACAAATAGCAACAACCTTGTATTCCCACTCATACTCAACAACACTCAGCAACAATGAAAACATTTACTTTAGATAAATCAAGCACATTTTGCCAATGACTTGCACCCTTAGCAAACTTACATTATTTTAAGTATTCATATAGAGTGGTTATGCTGCTTTTACTTGACTGAAGCATCTGTATGTTTCTACACAACCCCTGGCCACAATTTACAAATATTCAGTCTGTGCAGTGTCAGTCTCATAGCCTATATGTAAAGATGGACAACATGATCGCCAGCTAGTGGCTGCCTGCAGCATACGTTATAAACCATGACTCCTCCATGTTAGCGGATGTGAAATGGGCCAAATTAAAAAGAAAAAATTCACACCAAATTAGTAGTTATTAAAACATTGATGTACAGAATTAGAATATCATGAAAAAGTTTGTTTATTTTGATAATTCAATTCAAAAAGTGAAACTCATACATTATATAGATTCATTACACACAGAGTGAAATATTTCAAGTGTTTTTTTCTTTTAACTTTGATGAATATGGCTTACAGCTAATGAAAACCCCAAGTATCAGTATATCAGAAAATTAGATTGTGTGTAATGAATCTATATAATTTCACTTTTTGAATTGAATTATCGAAATAAACAAACTTTTCCATGATATTCTAATTTATTGAGATGCACATGTATGTCTAAGTAAGTTGTGTTTCAAATACTCCTTTGACATCATAAAAACAGGTTGAAATGTCATGATTGACTCGGACTGACTCACGAATGGCTGAGCTTGTGTATCAGTGAGACCTCACTACCACAGCTCTATCTCCCAACTGCATCTGTGCAGGACACTGCCTTCCAGTGAGGCCAAAATATATCCAGGATATAGAGATGTGTTGTTCATATTAATATACAATCTTTGGTCAATGTTGTATCACCTCTTACATCCTTGAGTCCAACTGGTAGTGAGCAGATCTGGTGCTTATTCTGACACAATTGGCTCAAATACTCAAAGGTCATCATGGTGGATATACAAGTCAGATCCCTTGGGAAAATCTAAAACAACAAAGAAGGTCATTATAAAACAAACAAATAATGTTACATATAGAGCAGTAAACTTGGATCTTTGTATGTTGAGAGATTTACACTATTGTCCTATAACTCTGGAACAAGCTGCAGTAGAAAGTAGGTATACATACTGCTTGAGGGATCTCCTGGTAACTGAGGCCCTGAAAGTGGCGATGCTGGTCCATGCAGTTCATCACTGCGCCACTCTGTGGTTCTACCCAGCACTCTGTCACCAGGCTCAGTTCTGTGTCCATGTCTACAGCTTCCACCTCTGTGTCATTATCATCATCGGTGGAGAAGCTGCAGTCCCGTGAAAGACAAAGGTAAAGTTAACTAATTATACCATACAGTTCAACTAAACTTGCAAAAGTCGTTTTTTCTCAAAGAACTGCAACAAAGAAAAGAAGGATGCCATCTGTTCAAAAATAGTGCAGAGTCTGCCGGAAGGGACAAACTACCTAGCTGACCAATTACAATTCTTGCGCTCTGTGCCGACTCACTGTGTGGTAAAATGTTTGGGGAGGTGCATGTCAGGGTACGGTGTAGGGCTCTGTGTAGGGTACACGTCTATGCATAGGCTATGGCATAGCTGCAGTGAGAAGCATGAATTGGCTTTTAGGGTTACATGAGTTATTATTATCAATAATATTTCAGACTGTGTAATGTGCAACAATAATTTCCCTGCACAGATCAATAAAGATTTTCTTTGATTAAGGATAAAAGTCAAAAAAATAACAGCCCCTCTCAAACATAAAATTGGCAAATACAATGTCCACATATCAGGCAGATAAAAGCATATGGACACATTCATAATGACCAGTGTTTAAAATGAAGGTGTTCTATACAAAAAAAAATAATCACTCCCAGACTTACCTGTCCTTTGTTGAAGTAGAGTGAGGTGGAAACAGGATGTACTGAACAATACAAGAGTGGCTCTCTCTGTTCGTGTCTCCTGACATCCCCTGCAGATTAAAATTGAATTTATTACAAACTAATAAGAAGTAATACCACCAACAGAAGAACATATATATGAGAGTGCTAAAGATAAAAGCATCCAAATAAAGCAGATGCAAAATTTCAACATTTAGTGTCCTAAAAGATTTGATTTGTTGATGTTTTCTACCTTCATTGGGAGCTCGATCACCATGTTTACGATTCCCTCTCCACTGGCAGCAAAGTGGAAGCCTTCCGATAAACGGATGCTACACAGAGATTGAAACATTAGAAACATATTAACTGTTAAATTGTTTATTTAAGTCTGCTACATTGTATCATTATAAATAAACAACAAAGTATTTCAGATTGCTCTGAAAAAGGACTTAAGGTGAAAGCACCAGGGGTTTTTGTTGAGACAGGCAGAAAGACAGCACAGCACCATAAATCCTTTTTATTTTTTTAACACATGGATTGTGTTTATTTATGTACATTTTCAAAATGTTTGTTCATCCCTAGTAATTATGGACTGCTGCTGATATTGTAAAAAGCTTCACCCATGAACAGTTACACTGTTGAAGTATTTTATAACAAGGAGCTTAAACTGTGGTGTCTCAAGAAAGCTGTAACCAGCAATGCCAGATTGAGCACGGCCCACTCCAAACATGTTTAAAACACGCCCTGCACGAGTAATCTTAAGTTTTATACTGTATACTGTTTTCAGAAGTCAACTAGTCAACTAAAATAAACCTGTTCGCTACCCTATACTCAGGTACACTCAACATCCCTGTAAGACAGAGATGTCAAAGTCAAGGCCAGTCGGCCACTTCCAGGCCTGTGGTACAATTATATCCGGCCTGCGATAAAATATCATATGTCTATTTTAACTAGCCCACAGGTGTGCAATGCCCAGCTAGACACACACGGAGCGAGTGAGCCCTAATCTCACTCCCCGAGTGGGAGCTAGGCGGCGTGCACGAGCTCCACAGGCCGAGCCACGGTGCGCAGTGCCTGGCTAGATGCACACGGAGCAAGCACAGTATTTGATGATATTAAATTATTTTTCCAGCGTTCCAGAGATCCCAGTGCCTGCCCCATCAAGTTCACTGTGTCTCTCAGGCTTATCTCTCTCCATTTCGCTCTGGCCAGAGATCCAGGTGGAGTGAACAGGTTAGATCCCAGTGCCTGTGTGCTGCTGTCTGTGCCCCGTCAAGTTCCCCCACACGCTTTTCTCTGTGATGAAAATGGAAAAAAAACCCACATAGGAGTTGTCTCACTGATGCACACCTTCACTCTATCTTGAGGGTTCTAAAAGGACAGAACCTAACCCCAAACATTAATGAACGTGCAGCCAAGAAAGGTTGCCAAACATCTGGCTCTGGCACATGTACATAACAGAAGAATGTAGCCTACCTAAATATGTTTTCGTTTGCAATTTATCCAATATCCTGTCTTTCCTGTTTAATAAATGCTGACCCTGTTTGGCCCTCAACGTAGTCCCAGTTTTTAATTTGGCCCCTTGAGTTTGACACCAATGCTGTGAGAGGTGTAGACAAATTTTATACAACTAACAATTTTTTTTTTTTTTCATGTATATTGATTATTTTAAACTTGTAAACAAATATTAAAACTTTTTAAAGCTGGTTTCAGACATACACTGAACTCCGGAGAACCTCCGGACATTCTCCTAAAGGTGCTTAGTGTGAACACAATATCCAGAAAAGCCAATGAGAGAACACAGCAGGAGATGCTCTGCAAGATTCACTGTGAGCAAGTGTGTGTTGATGACATTTCTAACATGCAAAAAACAGAAACATTTTTAAAAAGCTCAGCGACGAAGATGTCAAGAAAGCTTCTGGTGATCAGGGCTAATACCGCTGTCCATGTACTGTAAAAAAGTACATGCAATCTCCTCAGCGGTGGTAATACGATACATCCTGACTCTGCCTGCTGCGCCACCACTTACCTGAACACTCAGAATCTCCTGCTGAATTGTTCATGTATGAAAGGCAATCTCTGGAGAAAGTCCGAAACCAATTCTGTGGACATCCTCCGGAGTTCATGAACACAACAAAAACACATAAAAAAAAGTGCTTGAACTTACTCAGAGAGCATTGACAGGATGTGTGCAACAGCTTGAATGGCCACAGCCGATCCTTGACTGCTCTGCACGGCCCACACCCAGCGCTGGTGCAAGAAGTAACGGGACAGTGAGGCCAAGGTAGAGGAGGCTGTTCGGTTGGCTGCCATGCTTAGAGGCACAGCACTGCTAGAAGGCTGGAAGTTCTCCATGTTTAAAATGAAGGGGGTCTTAAAATCCACTGGCAGCTTCTCATACCTGCAAAGCATACACAATTTAAGTCATTATAATTTGTTGAGCTAGCTGCCTCCTTTCATGTAGAGGATACATTGTCATGGCTTTTTTGTCTATTAAAACATCACAGCTGTACTCATTTGAACCTGCAGCCATTTGTAAGCAACACTTTTAATTGAGGAATTCTAACAACAAAATCAGTTGAAAAAGAGAGAAATAGAAAGAGAGAGAAATGGCATGGCAATATGTTAAATCTCTTGAACAGGACCTTTATTTGGTCATTTTTTATGTGTATGTTTATTATGCCATGTAATCACATTTACTGACCTTATGAGAAGCTTCTCCAGGGGCTTGTTCAGGACTACCACACAGGGTCTGTCTGACAGGGCAGGTTTGGGAGCAGGGATGGAAGATTTAGATGGAGAGGGATTCCTCTTGGTCTTGGGGGTGGCCTCTTTGTTTTGAACACGGTGAGGAAAGCGAAGTTTGAGGATCTGTTCTCGAAGCTCATCGACAATCTAATGACAAACACAAACAATGGGATACCAGGTATTTAAAGTATTAATGGGAACACATTTTAAAAAGCATGGAGACATGGAGACATCCTCCACACCAAGCTCACCCAGCTCACTGTGCCCTCCTCAACCTGACAGTGGATTGCAAACTTCCTGACTGACAGGAAGCAGCAGGTGAGGTTGGGGAGCATCACATCCAGCAGCCGGACTATCAGCACTGGCGCCCCCTAGGGGTGTGTGCTCTCCCCACTGCTCTTCTCCCTTTACACCAACGACTGCACCTCTAAAGACCTGTCTGTTAAACTCCTGAAATTTGCAGACGACACAACGATCATCAGCCTTATCCAGGACGGTGACAAGTCTGCTCACAGACTGGAGGTTGAACGGCTGGTCTGCTGGTGTGGTCAGAACAATCTGGAGCTGAACACGCTCAAAACTGTGGAGATGACAGTGGACTTTAGGAGACGCCCCCCCCACTTTGCCGCCCATCACCATCACCAACAACTCTGTGACTGCTGTTGAAAACTTCAAGTTTCTGGGCTCCACAATCTCCCGAGACCTGAAGTGGGAGACCAACACAGTCACCATCATCAAAAAGGCCCAGCAGAGGTTGTACTTCCTGCGCTAGCTCAGGAAGCTCAACCTGCCTAAGGAGCTGCTGTCACAATTCTACTCTGCCATCATTCAGTCTGTTCTCTGCTCCTCAATCACTGTTGGTTTGGAATGGCCACAAAACAGGAGAAGAACAGACTGCAACGGACAATAAGGACTGCAGAGAAAATTATTGGTATCAGCCTGCCCTCCATCCAGGACCTGTACCTGACCAGAGTCAGGAATCGGGCAGGTAACATCTCTGCAGACCCATCACACACTGGATACAAACTGTATAAACTTCTCCCCTCCGGTAGACACTACAGAACACTATACGCCAAAACATTCCGTTTTAAGAAAAGTTTTTTCCCCTCAGGCTGCCTCTGTGTCAAACAGCTAAACCCGGACTCAAAAATCAGAAACATCACCTGTAATATATCTGTACATTCAATATACTGTACAAACTGTATATGTATATTGATTATTTCATCCTTGCACCATGCACCATTTGCACCAACTATTTAGCTTTTGTGTACATGTACATAGCTTTTGTTATTGTCTTTCGTCCTTGTTAATCTCTGTTTGTTTGTTGTTTTTTCAAACTGTTGTACTAAGACAACAAAGAAAAACCGGAGTCAAATTCCTCGTGTGTGTTCACATACCTGGCAATAAAAGCGATTCTGATTTACATTAAATGCACCTGATGTTGAGTGTAAAGGTTAATTCTTGAAACATTTACTCACGGTGCACTACCTAACTCTTCCCAGAGCTTTCATTCATATTTCATTTCCATCTCACAAATGTATGTCTGCTTTAAAACACCATTGACAAATAAATGTGACATTGTTAAGTCTGTGAAGCACACAGGTAGAATGCAATCTACAAAACAGTAACATCCTATTAACATTTCATAGTATAACAGAATCCATCAACAACATTAACAACACTGTGAAGCATAAAGTTACTGAAAAATCTGAAGCAAATGCTGAACATTACCATGTTTAAAGAGAGGTTTCTGCTGTAGAGAAATATGTCTGTACAAGTGTTCCTATTTCACTGGAGGTACCTTGTTTCGGACATGGGCAGGTGTACCAATAGGGAAGCCAAGACGAAGCACCATACAGGGTGTCTTAGAGATGAGACGGACGAGGTAGAAGGACGTGGGAGGCTGGTCAGATGAACTGTGGAGACAATTCATTAAATGTGACTTTGTTTTCAGGGAATAAATTATTTTGACTGAATTTCTAATTTCAAAGAACAAACATTATGCACAACATTAAACTTAGGCTTGTGATCCCATTAAACAAGTTATCAACTTCAGACAATAACTATATTGCTTATTATGTGAACATAACCTTTAGGTTGCATATGAAAGTTCTCTTTAATTCAGTTGTGAATTTATACTTTTGTTTTGAACTGTTTTGTGGTTGTCTGTCTGTCTTTCTCTGTTTTTCTCTTTCTGTATCGATATCTCTGACTCCAGAGCTGCAATCATTACATCCATAATTATCAATTTTGATTTATTTCTGTCTAAATACATATACTTAGACATGATTTGATAGCAATTCCATCTGATATCCCACCCATTGAGCAGCCAAAACACCAAATGGATGTGAGCCCACCAAAATGGAAAGAAGTTAAGAACACAATGAGGCGGGCAAGAGCGTCATCAGCCAGAGGCCCAAACGGTGCCCTGTATAGGGCAAGAATGCTCCTGATATTCTACACTTCTTGAATTAGGATCAATCCATCAAAATCAAGAGGCATCTCAATAATGAAAGACCAGGGAGAAGCAGAAAGTGGGATGTCAGCAGCGGCCTTAAGAACATTGACCAGTCCATGCTTCTTGGCAAGTTAAAGATCTGGTGCCTACAGTTTGGCCCATTACCCAGACTGATGTGGCCACTTAAAGTAATTGACGTTCCCCACACAATACTTGAAAACATCGAGAGAATGACCAAGAAAGTGGTTAGGAGTCCAAAGATGTCTGATGGTCGGCCTGTATGGACACAGCATTCTCTTAAGTCTTGTGTTTAAATGCACCAAGACAAGGCTGTAGACAACCCTCTCAGAGTCCCAAGACCCTCTCACATCTATACAGGCTGTTGGTCCATCACTGACAACAGGACAGAAATTTACACCAAAATAAGCCATCCAATAGGCAAAATCAGCAGTCCAGCATGCTGACATTGTGGGCCACTTTGAGCAGAGAAGAGGAGGTTTGGCCCAAGAGACCCCTGTTGAACAAGGCAACTCTTGTAGAGTGGTGAAAATTGGTTCAAAGGACATTTGTCCGTGATGAAACAGGGGCAGAAAGGTCCTACTCCATTGAGTTCATACAGATGAAAATGAACTAGTTCATGCTCAAAGCTCATTTCATTTTGGGAGAGGTTCCCACTGCTCTTCAACAAAGTAACTTACTGGCTGCTTCACGTTAACGCTCCTCTTATCTCACTGTGTGTGTCACTCTGAGCGTGTGAGTGGGGGTGAAGTCCCGGGGCCTTTTTACTCACTCCTGGTTTTATGAACATGAGTGGCATTCACTCATACTGAAGTGAACATCACTCACATTCGTCTTTTGTAGACTGATTTGTTCAGTTCAGTGTTCACAGAAAATATGGATGTGTTCATTGAAAACTGTTGATTGTCAACACTGAGCAAATGTTTTTCCTGTGGAAGTTGTTCAAAGATCTGGGGATCCACGGACCAGCCCTGTGCCAGACCATAAAAGAAACATCACATATTGCAGACCTCTGTAGCCAACAGCTCTGGATCTGATGGAAAGATTCCAACTGGGCCCAACAGGTCTGATCAACCTATGAGCAGCGTATCTTAGAAGCCGGTATCGATAATTATAAGGCCAAAATACTGGATGATACTAAGACGCACAACTGAGGTTATGTCCCTAACATCCCTAACATCCTGCTAACACCTGTTAACATATACTGGTAGTTGGTAATTTACATTTTGCAGAAGACCTCCAAACGTACAAGGGATGTTCACCATCTAGTCCTATATTCTATTTATGTTGAGTCTGGCTTCAGTTTCTTGCTGTCTCACCTGTATATGAGTTTAACATATGAGTAACCCTCCACAAGCACAAAGCTGCTCCAGTCTTTCAACAGTGACGTTAAGGCAGAGTGGGAGATTCGACACTGAATGGTGCTGTAACGTCCGTTATTTCCAGCTGTGTGCAGGTGCTTGGGGACAGGCCTTGAAGGAAAAAAATATTAATATAATATGGCAGACAACAAGCGTAACACCATGAATCAGTACAGCCCAATGTAAAGAATAATGATACGTATTTAATACATAAATAGGAAAATTAGCCAATCTATCATCACTTAAACAAACTATGATCAGCAAGATCGGCAAAAGCCCAAGTAGGCATTCGAATTTGAAGCAGAAATGCTTTATCTAAATGAGACTACAGCAGGCTATGGGTTAACTCTGTAGCCAATTCTCCTGATTTAACCCGTAGGTCATGTCTGAGAGACATCTTATTTCTCACATGTCATGTTCAAGGATGATGGTGATGCGATGCATATGGAGCCATCTCTGCCAGAAGTTGGCATCCATGGAGAGAATGGGTTTCCAGTAGGAAGCAAACTTGGACTGAGGGGAGTCTTTGGATCCACTGTGCTGCAGGGAAAGAACCTGGAAAAGAGATAAGTCAGTTGCAGGAGGTGTGAAAATAGAGTAGAGAGGGTACAAGGATAAAGGCCAAACTTCATCGCCACAAAGAAGATATATTACAAAATCACATTTCTCAGTGCTTTTAAACATGTATTTGGGTTTCTGGAATATCTAACGATGCAGAGAAATTAAAGTATCTCAGCATGTCAGTTTGTTAGGGGCAGACAATGTCTAAAAACATGTGTATCAGTGGGCTGTTTAGAATTCAAGCCCCACTTGTAAAGTAGGTAAGCTAATTGAAATAGACCTACCCCCTCTCAGAATCTGCGCCAAAACGCCACAAACAAATCTAGAACTACCTTTACATTCTTTTATTTTGCAAGTGCTGGACCTGTAAGAATATGTTAAAGCAAGCCATACATGCAAAATGCTCTGTTGTTGGCTACACAGAGGAGCATCCCTCTTTAGACTCTAACTCAGGTTAGAGTTAAGTGGTTTAAGTTTATTTATCATAATACCAATGTCCACTATCACTATCTCAAACCTGCCTCAAACAGGAACCTCTCCCTAAAAACCTGCTGCCTATGCTCTCTCTTGACACAGCCTCTGCCCCATAACATTCACCAACGTGCCCGTTCAAGCCATTCCTTTACTAATACATTTCACGTCAGCAGCAACGACCCCGTTTTAGTATGTCGGAGGTCACTAAAGTTTGAGTGGTTAGCTTGCAGTGAGGGAGCAGCAAGCCGATTGGCAGGTGCAGAGCAGAGTGTAAGGTTTGACCATTTCCTGGATGTAGACTGAACCCGATCCGTTCACAGCACGGTATGCAAGTACTAGTCGAAACGGAAGTGGGCAGCCTCCGGTAACCAGTGATGGGAACGGAGAAGTGTGAGTGAATTTAGTAAAGTTAAAGACCAGTCGAGCTGCTTGCATTCTGGATGAGCTGCAGCGGCCGGATAGCACTAGCAGGTAGACCAGCCAGAAGGAAGTTGCAGTAAATAAACCTTTGAATATTGATCAGTAGTCTGTGTGAGATGACCAGAACCTGGACCAGAACTTGGACCAGAACCTGTGCTGCCTTCAGACTGAGAAGGGGACATATTCTCATATACTACTATACTATTTTTTCCATGTTTTTCCATTGCGACATCAACTCAGTCTTATTATGTCATGTCATATAATGACAGCCTATGTACTTTGCATAAGCATGTAATATTAACAGTAATAATGTTCTGTGAGTAACACCGTAACCACTGAGCAGTAATCCATTATAGGACTACAAAAACTAATTGATCAACAACTAATCGACAGCTCAAGCTTCCCTTTTGACAAATGTCTACCAAAACAATTACTTAGTCTAAATTTTGGTCACTTGGACCAGACTGGATTGGTCCTATTGCACAGTACCGGAGTAGTAGAGCCAGGGGGGATGTAGAACAGAGGAACTCCATTTTTGGTGCTTTCAGGAATCATGTAGTTCTCAGGAACTGAGTTAAATGCCTGGAGGTGCACCAACATCTGATCAGTCTGGTTGATGCTGAAAGAACACACATAAGGGCACATGGGGTTAGTAGATTTATATATTGTGTTGTGATTACGTCATGTAGAAAATAAGCAGAATCTAAATTTGTTATTTTTTTATAGACTGGAAATGATACTTTCCTCCTCCAGTCACAGATGTTGTACCTCTGCAGTGTGTTCCAAAAGCGGCGGATGACAGAGGTCCGGTAAGGGCTGGTGATGGGTTTCCTCTGGGTGCAGCTGATATCATGTAGGATGTCATAGCTTCCCTCCATCGTCACCTCCACCTTTGTGCTTCTCTTGGTGGGGTCCAGTGGCCAGGAAGCCGCTGCCAGGTACTCGATATGCATGTTGTGTTTCCATAACAGCACCAGTTTCACCTCCAATTGAGTTCCGCCTTAATAAGTCAGGAGCCACATTTTCAACAGGGATGAACAGTTCAAGCACTGCGTGTCGGAGCCAAATACTAGCAAAGGGATGCTGTGGGGCGGAATGTTAATTTTGTATACAAATATAGACAACCAGGTCATTGCTAAAGATCGACATCACAATATCTTTGTAACAGAATGAGCTTTGGACTTTGGAGAGCTGCTAGGAGCAGTAATTTCTGTTTGCATAATGTGAGGACCTATTGGTTTAAAGATTCAGAAGATGCAGTGCTATTACTGAAGCTGGATGTGAAGGATCCTGACCAATACATTACTGCATGAACCTGAACCTAGGTGTAGTGCGACAGTATTTAATTTTCATTTAAATTGTGTGCACACATAATGGGTAACAAACTAATGCTTTGGTTACCGATGACAGATAATAGACTTTGCGTGGACTGTTTGTTGCAGTGAATTATTGTTTGATTGCCTAATTCATCGTAGAGATGTACAATGCTGAGCCAGACATAGCTACAGGGACTGGTGTGCGAAATTCTGGTAAAGCTAGTGAGTAGTGGTGTTGAAACACACAGGTAATAGACATGTAACAAACTCATTAAAAAGCTGAGCTAAACAAGGCAATCAGTTAAAGAAAATCAATCCAAGGTTTAATGGTAAAGAATGATAAATCCCTGGTACAAAATACTTTGGCCGAAAAATGTGAATCTCTGTTAGCTCTATTGCAATGTGATGAAAGGAAAAACCATCAAGTATGGTAAGCAAAAAGGCTGTTTAATCATGAGTGCGTTATTGAGACAAAAAATTTTCATGCAATGAAAATCATACACATGAAAGTGGGAGCTCCTACACTGCATCTGATTGAGCGAGATGTCTTTGGAATTTCCGCATAGCCTTCATTTTGCTACAGAAAGATATTTACCTTTGGTGAGGCTGATTTCTCTGATGGTGTAGCCCTCTCTCAGTCGCACAGACACTACACTGATTAAATGAGCATGGACTTCCTTCTCTGTGTGTTTCTTCCTCCTCATGACCAGCGCGGGGTTACCACTGGCTGACACCAGATGCTCATTAAACAGTTTGTGCTGGGAAACTACAACACAATGAAGAGCTATTTATTATCATCATCATTATCACTTCCAATTGAAATTTGCTGTGCTTCTGTATGAATGAGTGAAACCTACAAGACATACACAGAAAATGTCCTAAAACATAAATCTGATGACACTGATGCAGACAGGGATACATTTGTTTCCGTTAGATATATATTTATTTAGAATGGGGGATAAAATTTTACAGATTACCTGGTGTTCTCTTGCGCAATCAGTACTCACCACAGTTTCACACTGTTGCATGGTGTGCACTCTCCTTTTTAGGCTTAAAACACAGTGTAAATAACATTGTTTCGAGTCGTATATGAATGTCGGGGCTTCCGGACACTTGTATGACACCACACGAGTAGTATGGAGAATGTAATGTGTTTTTCTATTGTTTTTTTTCATCTGAAGATAAGTCCCTAATATCTTCAGTTGTATTGGATTCAGCAGCTACACTGTTTACCCCTGGTATTCCAGAAGTTGTTTTGTGGACTCAAAAACTCCACCTTTTGGGTGAGCTATCCCTTTAAAGTCAGAACACACAAAGTGTTTCAAAATAAAGCTCCTAATGTAGCTTCTTTGATGGGAGGTGAAATATTTCACTTCATCACGAAGTAGCCTCCTTCAGTTCACTTTGCTCGTTCGAAGAACAGATTCATATCTTGTGGCCAGGCAATATTAAGCCATAGCAACAATTTAATTATCTTATGGTCACAAGGTCATCTCATTCCCAACCCCTATTAGCTTGGGGCTACACAATCATTCTTTTCCCACCACTGTCACCAGAAGGGTGCTATATTTAAGAGATACGAGAACCATTTCTCTGTGACTTATATTACAGGAGATACTATACAGGAGATATGGCCAGTCAAAGTGAGTCCACCCAAAAAAAGCTCAAATTTCATTAGCCCAAATCTCCCTTTTATTGCCATCTGAGGCACATGAGATTGTGGTCCCACAGATTTGTTATATGACCAAATTAGCAAATTAGCATATCGATGATGGTGCAGCCTGTGATGATTGTGTGATGTGTTGATTTGACATTGGAATAAGCCATGCGTCTCACCACAGTAGTACTCTGAATTCATCGACTCAGGGGTCTTGAGGAAGGAGTAGGTTAAGAAGGCCTTGTGGTAGGCATTCATTTCTTGGCTGGTCAGGTCCACTTCAGGGCAGCTAGGCAGGTATGAGCCAAAGGTAGCTAATGATATGAACTTCATCAGCTCTACATTAGGGATGTATCCAAAGCTGCAGTCATAGGAGTATGCACCGCCAACCTGGAATAGAACAAATGCAATCAAAAGAGCAGTCCGACTTTTCAGTGCAATGGCTCTTATATGTCTCCTCCATTCTGGATCAAGATGACAGAATCATCATAATATAGTGTTTTGAGTGGAATGATAGAGTAAATTGCTATGAATTCTACCCCTTATTACCGTAATATTCAACAGTGTCCATATTTATGTTTCCTCTTAGTTAAAACCCTTTTCTGTCATAGCTGTGCCACCACCACTACAATTTAACTGAATTTTTTGTATGAAAGGACTGCATTTCAACAAGATGTCTTAAGGCACGACATCAACAATACTGTATTTCTGGCATTGCACTTAGAAAATTAAGCTACATCGGTAACAAAAAACATAACTGCAAACATTGCGATGTTGTTATGATCTTATTTACCTGTACAAAAGAGCAAGCAATGGTTCCACTTCTGAGTTGGTTCAGCAGGGTTTCACACACTGCTACATCAGGGACACTGGTCACTCCATCTGTAATTATAAGGATACCTGGAAAACACACACACATAATAATAATATTATGTGCTGATAGGACTTATTTCCCCCCCGGGGACCTGAGTGTAATCGATCTTTCCTTTTTTGAATCAATATCGGATAATTCAAACGAAGATCAATTTAAATCAGAGAATATTTTTTAAAACCCAGCCCTATGACCACAAAGCAATTCAGAAATCAGGAAATTCTGACGGGTGATTAAAATAAACGTAATTTGCAGATTCAAATGGCACAGACCCTTTTTGTGTTCTTTTTGTGTTTTTGTTTATTATCATTCGTATTCATTTTGGGGTGTATTGCTAAATTCAAATATGATAATTTCCTTTATTTTTTGATGTGTTATATCAAATTAATCACATTTTTAATGTATGTTCCTGAAGGTGGGCACCAGGAAAAATAGCTGTTCTTTAGTGCATAGCTAATAACCCCTTAAGGGTAGTGGTTGAGGTCTTCGATCTCTGGATCATAGTCTGTCTTGTGTGTCTGTACTGTCACGTCATCAAGCAAAATCTGATAACCTAAAACACATTTCATGCAGCTGTAAATGGGATATTTTTATATTTATATTCTGACGGCAAACCTACCTGCACTGGAGTTTGGAGGCAGCAGCTGAAGGGCAAGGATGCCCTGGCGTACCATGCTGAGCAGACCCATATCAGCTGACACAATAGAAATGCCCTGCTTCCTGTGAGGCTGATTGTCCATGTTGTTGCTATGAAGACTTGGGTTTAGGAGTGGCTCCAGAGACTGAAGGCACAGTAAAAAATAAATGCATTGGTAAATTTCATCAACTTTCAAGACTATAGAATGCAGATTTTACACTGACCGAATACAGTAAGATGCAAATCTATCAAATCACAAGAGGGGTTGAATGCCGACTAAAATGCATGCAGTACCCTGTGCTTGTGTTGGCAACACAAAATTATGCTAGCCTGCAGAGGACAGTAACGACAAAGAGTGCTGTGCACAGCTCTACAGTGGGGCAATGGCACAAAACAATCTTTCATGTTATCATCAGAAGTGTTAAAACCTCTTGGAAGCTGTAGTGGGACAAATAAGACTATGACTGGCTAATACAGTAAAGGTAATTATTGGGGAAAACTGCTTCTCTTAATGATAGCCTACAATATAAAAGAAGCAAGGCGAAATTATCACATCTTTTTCATAGTCCATAGTGTCAAGAAATGAAAATTGAAAAACCTAAATCAACAATCTGCTTATACGTCTCAATACTTTGGCTTCCTTACTCTATTTTTAGCTCTCAACTCCAAGCCCATTGGATGTAACTGAATCAATCGGACAACTATATGGGCTGTAGAGCTGTATCAGATATAAGTACAGTGTGTGTGCTCATGGTAATGAAGGAACACACATCACCCAGTGTATGGATCAATGACTACATTTCTCCCACTGTATAAAAATGACGCCAAAATATCTCAACACCTGAACATACAGTTAAACTTTTTAGTTTGGTCCATGGTACATGGATGTTAAATGTTTCTATGCAGACTCACTCATTACATTGTAAATGTTGTGCATCTGCACTTGCCTGTTCATGCTGCTGATGAAGGACTTCAGCAATGTTGCTCTCCACAGCTCTGAGTTGTTGATAAATGTGATGTAAGAACTCACTGAGGTCTGTTCTTTCAAGTTGACAGCCCTGTACCAAAACCTACAGGAAAATCAAAGCTGTCAAAGGAGGGCAACAACACTGACAATATGTGCATGAAAAAATATCTAAGTCAGTATAAGGCATCTGCCATCAGAACCCAACATATGCATAAAATAATCAGAGCATGTTGCTATTGAAATGTAAAGTACAGAGGACTGTCCCAAAAGACAATTTTGATGGATTGGATTGCACCAAGTTTTAAATTAGTCGAGTCAAAACCATAGACTGTATATAAAGAGGTCAAAACACATACATTTAAATAAGGCCACAGGAAGTCCATTGGTTGAACTTGTGGTGTTCTCCATCATGTGACTTCAATGCTAGTTCTGGTTACATGCTCAAAAAAGAAAACTTCTGACCACTCTTAACCACAACCTACAATGATATTGGCTGAGTTCAGGGTTAAAACACAACAGCCCTCTTAAAACTTAAAACCAGACAGGACAGAAAAACACTCCTTTTAAACATAGTGTGGCTGCTTCACCTTTTAGACATTTGGAATCTTGTTGAACATTTGACAATTGGAATCTTGTAAATCACCAGTAAAAAAACTGAGATCACATCTAAGCTACTGTTTTATAACCTGGTGGGATGTGAGGCCGATAATTGATGAATATGCCAAGATGGTGATAAAGATCTTTGGCTTGAAAAGCTGATCAGTTCCAGGGACTGTGAATGGTTGAGCCAGACCAGCCAGGCACCTTGACAGGGCATGAAAAACCTCATCAAAGATCATCTCTCCTGTGCTGTCATCCTGCATAACAGAAAACAAAACACAAGTACAAGTTAATGTATTATTTTCCATACTTCTAAAGCATCAGTTTCCAGACAGTGGCTTCATACTATACCGACAGCTGTAAAACAGATAATCCCATACTGCTTTGTATTGCCTAGATGATGCTAATGTCTGCCTCTGCTTTGGTCTCTATTAACATCAGAAAGAAATCTGTTCACACAGTGGCATATTCCATATGTCCAGGGACTGACCCACTGGGGCGGTTGGCATTGATATTACATATCATTTAGCTGATGCTTTTATTCAAAGTGACTTACAATAAGTGCATCAACCATGAGGGGACAAACCCAGAACAACATGAATCAAGTAAGTACAATTTGCTTCAAAAAGCCAAACTACAAATTGCTACATGTAAGTGTCATATAAGTGCAACAATATATACTTTTTATTTATCTATTTTTAATTAGTTACTAGACATCTTTTTCATCACCATGGTGTAGTCCGAAGAGATGTATCTGTAGTCTGCAGTGGAACATGTATAGACTTTCTGCTGTCCTGGTGTCAATGGGGGGCTCGTTCCAACATTTAGGAGCCAGGACAGCAAACAGTTGTGATTTTGTTGGGTGGTGTATCTCTTTAAGACACACCACTACGTGGCCCATGCACGGCCCCAGCCCCAGGTGTGCATGCATTCACTGATTCATTGATTCCCACTTTGGTAGGCCACGTGAGCGGATGGAAAAGATCAGTGGGAGATTAGCAAGTTACCCATTGTACCGTTGTGCTGGAAAGCTGATCTATACCCTCTCAGGATAGTTAATTTCCCATCTTTCCATCCGTGGCAAGGGAATTGAGAGAAGAACTGTACAGCATATTTCACAATTAGCTCTGCTAATGTGCCAAAATGCCTAGCACGTGCACTTCTGCCGCCCGCCAAAATTAATTTCGGCACCCCTCTCTTTGCAACATACCATGCCAGCAACAATACACAAACGCCAATATGCTGTACACATAAAGTGCAAGTGCAATGCTAGTGTGCTAAAAGTGCCAACAATTTATGTTGTATGTATTAGGGATGGGCATGATTAATCGACAAATTGATAATTGATCGTTAAGAATTTCGTTGATCACGTTATTTTTTTATCGATAAAATGCTCGAATAATGCACATAATGCACGGAGGTACCTATGCATCCCGGCAATGTCAGTCCCCTCAGAGCGGGTGTTCTCGGCGGCTGGACTGACGGTCACCAGGCTGCAGTCGCGTCTGACCCCAGAGCATGTTGGGCCTACTAGTTATTTTTATGAGGCTTTGTTAAGTAGCCTAATTAATTGTTAGGTAGGCTATCTCTCTCTCACCCTCTTTTTAGACTCGGTGCCTTTTGGATAGTTTTTGAGTTACAGTATTATGTTTTTGGTTAAGTTATGGTTTAACATGATTTTTTTTATTATTATTATTTTGGAACAAACAAGGGTCAATTGTGTTTAAGAGCGCCGGCTTGCAGCTGCAGGCTCCTCTGCTATAGAGCACCGCAGCGCACATCTTCAAGTTTAACAATTGAACGTCAGTTTAACTGCCACAAGAGTTGTTCTTCTCATAATAAAGATCTCATCGAGGAAAAACACGCTGTATTTTGTATTTTCATTGCATTTTTAATATATAAAAAATTAAATAATGTATTTTAATTAATTCAAATTTTTTAATGATTAATCGAAAATTGATCGTTAAGTCTCCCAACGATCGATTAAGAAAATTTAATCGAATGCCCACCCCTAGTATGTATGATGCAATATGCATTTTGCGCATCCATATCATGACTCATGACAACACATTTACAAAGGCTGTCTACCAGCAGTGCATCGTGATGGTGTGCACAGAGCATTGGCAGAAGTGTGTGCTGCACACCTGTAGCGGGAAAGCGCATTAAGGAGAGGAGCGCAACGAGTATGAGCAGTGAGTGATAAATTAAGAGCGACACGTGAAGGAGAGGAACAGAGAGACAGAGAAGAGAAAGACAGATGTCTATTGTCTAACAACGCACAACCACGCATACCACACCAACACACACCCCCACAAACATCCTACGAGTCATCACATACATACTACGCCCAGCCTGTTATAGGCATACGTTCTTGTACTGTGCTGTTGCTCATGAAAGTAACTTAAAGAGAGAGAAGTCATCTGAGTCTGTGAGACACGGTTGTTGTGCTAGTGATCTCTTGGCTCCGTGATTCTTGGGAAAAGCAAGTTGCCGAAGGAGGAGTTATCGGATGAAATTTTTGAATTGAGCCAAGTTGTTTTATTTTAATGCTGACTTTTCAGAATGAAACTAGAGGAAATTTGTCAATGAGATGGAACAAAAAGAAAGAAAGAAGCCAATTTGCTTGCCACACACTGTATTTACTAAAATAACAATAAATTATAAAGTAAAATTTTCATCTAAGAAAAAGTGTATTTATAACTTAAAACTTGTCTCTATCTTATGGTTGATTTGGATAACTAAATTTTAGAGTTGGAATATTCAGACTTTAAGTCTGTGAATAGAACAATTTGAAATATAATGCAGATAACATTGCAGTAGATAATAAATAATAGTCTTCAAATCAATCTCACAACTGAATTTGTATTATACTGAATTTGTCTGAATTATTTACGTTATCAACAGCTAATCCTAAAGTTTTAAATTTGTAGTTTCACTGTGCTTTTATAAGTTCATCCTTGAGTCCAAGTGAATTTGTGTACCAAATTTGAAGAAATTCCCTCAAGGTGTTCTTGAGATATCACGTTTACAAGAATGGGACGGACTGACAACCTAAAAAATGCCTCCGGCCACTAGCTGTCACCAGCACGAATGCATAATAGACTAACCATTTTCTAACTAACTTTCACTAAAGTTATAACACTTTTTTCTCCACACTACTATAGATTTTTTCAGACATGACCTCCGGAGGATGTTCAGAGAATTGGGTCTACCAGAGAATGAGGTTGCCTTTCACACATACATAATAGAGCAGGGATTTCAAATGTTTTTGTTTACAGCATATCAACACCGACAATTCACTTCATACACTGGTATGCATTTGTTCACCTCAAACACAGAAAGCCCAGGCTGCAGGTTTCAAACGCAAAACAAAACTGGGAGTACTGGGCTGGCGTGCCTCATTTATAACCAAAACGGGAGTTTCAGGGATGCGACCCTGTCCTCTGTCAATTTCAGTTGCATTTTTTATTATTACATTTCATCCTGTTGGGACTATAAATGTCAATAAATGGAGTGGCCCGCCAACACTGCCATCCCTTCTGCTAGACAGCTAGCATGGTAAGAACCACAATGAGCATAAAGACCTAAGGCATACATTATCTTTTCAAGTGCAGTGTGGAATCTGACCTGCATGTTAATACTGTATCTATACAAAATAAAACAGTACAACTCCAAAAACACCAAGAGCCAATGGGGTGTGCAGAAGAGTCATGTAATTAATGTGAATCAAGTAAGGTTTTCATCTGAATATTCTTAGGATACTATAAATAGAATAACTAAGATTTCTCTGCTATAAAGACCTTATGAAGCACATAACTGGCACAAAATTTGTGGTTGCTAGGAAGAGAACACCCTGGTAATTTTCTCTTCTCATTTATTGACTGTTTATTGAGGAAAAAATCTCATAACCATTAAATTGTGTTTACATCTTACCACAATCCCCGTGGAAGGGCTAAGATCCAGCTCGATGATGAATCTGTACCTCCGAGCCAGGAAGGTGGCCCGAGTGGAGGGCACCAACATGTACGGGTACATGGTTGGGGAGAAATCTGGCTGCCATCCTTTCGGTAAGATGCTCAACAAGTCCAATTCATTCTCTGAGTTCAGCTGTGAATGCAGGCAAACATGACATCAGTGACTAATTATTCATAACATTTATAAAGTTAAGAAAACTTGCAAATTGTTAGTCAAACATTCTTAAAGAATGGAATTTCAGAGCTTACTTTTGTTTATCATCTGTTCATGCATCTACCTACTAATTGCACAAATGTATGTCTGTCTGTCTGTCTGTCTGTCTTTCTGTCCGTTGAAAGCATATCTCACGAACCATTAATGAATCGACTTGGCATGTCTATTCTAAGTGGGCGTTGAGGAGGCAGTATGTCAGTCAGTCTGTGGGCCCAGTTGAATCTTCTTCTGATAAAATACAGCAGCAACAGGCAACTGGGTCCAGCTGAGGTACAAAAATATGCAACCACTTCGATCATTTTCTTTTTTTATTTCATCATATCGGACTGACAGATCACAGGTGCAGCAGGTGCTGAGTTCGATCAATGGCAACAACATTCATATAATCATTCAGTGTTTGGCAATTTGTCTTCAGAGTGAAAATGTATATAAAATCTTTACTGCAGATAAAAGAGTTATGATAAACGTAACATTTTCTAACTTCACCCTGTACCATAGCTGGTATATAAAAGTTCTGCACAATATGTCCAGCAAACAAACAATGACAAAAATGACAGTATTACAGTTGTCAAAAAAAATTGCTACTTATACTAATCAATACTAAAGAACTAAACCAGCCACTTTATCTATTTAATGCAAAATATTCACATTAATATCAATTCATATTTATCTGTTCCATGCACAATATTCAGCTACTTAGTTCAACAGTATATGCAGAGGAGCTGCTACTGCAGCACAATGTATTTTTGAATACAGCCATAAGAATGACTATTTACATAAATTCATCAGATAAACATCATAACTAAGGTGAAAGATACTTTTCTCTGTTTATTCTGCTGTGAACCATGATGTTAATCGGTCACAAACATATGTACTGTATTTCCAACACTTCCCGAACTGGGTTCAAAGTAAAAGCACTCCAGCTTTTCACTTTCTGAATAAATTAATTTGTTCTAACGGGACTTTGATTGTTATCGCAAGACTGGAAGATGCACGTCTTCATACCGTAGTGTCCTGGGGTCTCATTTATAAAACAGTGCGTGGGATTCATACTAAAAGCGTACATGCGCACAATAGCCGGAAATGGCGTACGTAAAATAAAATTTAGATTTATAAAACCGTGCACACGCACACCTGAACATAATGTTCACTTTATAATTCACAGTGCACCTGGAAACATTCGTACTCGTAGCTGCCTCATATCCCACTCTCTACACGCCCACATTCAACTATAAATGTTGAATACAAAGCACCTACAATTGAGTCTCCACAGAGATTCATGACAGAGTCACAGCATCAAGCCATGAGAAGAGGAAGCGAAACTTCCTGACACTGACATCGATATATATAGAACTTAACATAATTATTATGATATGCTTGTGTTTGTACTGGGATGGTTCCGTTTTCTCGGTTGATCTAATACTGGAACCAAGATCACAGATCTATAGAATCTATATCAGGTGATCAGTCATCACTGAACCTTCATTTCCTCCTCATCCTTCCATTCGCGTGCATCCATCACGCAGCATAACACATGAGTGTCACTGCAGTATTTCTATATTTACAGCAATCAGAGTGATTACTTCACACAGTGGATCCTAACCTTCACTCTGGAATATTATTTGGAAAATAGAAGTTTGTTAAGTAACTAGTTTTTCTTTATTTTTGTGATTTGTTTGTAAGTGATCTCCAGTGCACTCTCTGCGCCTCAGTCACGTTCACTGCTGCGATTTTACACACACTGGTCATTGATGATACATGCACAGTGTTAGAAGATTTTATTAAAACTATTAATGACTCAGCTCTGTAACTGCTGTTTAACGGAATCTTAATTAGCTGTAAGTTGTTTTATATCTTTTGCAATTTAAGTTTCTTATGAATCAGTTATGTCACACAAGCAAAAATGAAGCTGTCTGCATCGCCACTTTCCCCTCTCCAAAATGTTCGTACGCATCGTACGTCCAGTCAAGTTTGTTTTTATAAATTCCAACGTTTGCGTGAGAAGTGGCATACGCACATTTCAGGCCCTGTTTTGTGCGCAACGGAGACTCCAGATCCTTAGTTTAGTACACAATCTGACTTGTATTGAAGGAAATGCGGTAGATATACCAGCAGCTCACACTGCCCATGTGAATAATAGACAACAGAGACACAGCTGATCTGCAGCACAACCCCAGCCAGTGAGTCCAGAGTGTTACAGGGATCAACAGTGAGGACGTTCGAGATCGACCAGTCGATCGCGGTCTAAGGGTTGATGACCCCTGCTCTAGAACAACAGTGCAGCCAGTATGGCCCTGGCTTTAGTCTCCCCCATGAGGACAGTACAATACAGGGTTAACTCACCAGTTCAGGCTTTGAGGCTGGCCAGATGACTTGGTTAAGCTTACCAAGGAACCATGCCAGACGCACATTCCTAGAGATCCGATACTCCTCCTTCATCAACAAGTAGATTTGGTCAGCCTCCTCCACCTTATTAAGATAAATAGATGAAATTTATTGATCTCAGTTGGGAAATTGTTGAAAAAAGAAGCACATACAGTGGTTTCAGACAATATTCAGATCCATTCTCTTTTTGCAGTTCTGATTGATAAAATTGCAGATCAGACCAATACAACAAAGCACATTATACATAACAGTAACCACAATCACAATTCATATAAGAACGCAATTTTAACTTTTTTAAAGAACAAATATTCATGTACACATCACAGTATACAAAAAAAAAAAAGAAAAACACATCTTGGTGTTGTGCATGGGAATCAACACATTTATTCAGTGCAGGTTCTCTTTTCAAACACACTTCGCCTCTATTTATTTTATAATCTCCGGGTGTAGTGTGTTTGCCAACTTCTCCCAACTACGAATCACATGTGGGCAGGGATACACTGGGACAATAATTCAGGCTGGGAATTTGACTCCTTTCCAGGCCACCCTTTTTGCGTAAAGCACCAGACCTCTAACTTTTAAGGCTAACTCCATTTGTTCATGTAAAGGTTAACAGGCTGGTAAACAAGTAGGCAGCACAGTAGCTCACTGCCCTCTGTCATCTTTTCAATGACATCATCTTTGTCAAGTGCAATAACAATCTCATTCTCTGTTGCCACAACCAAAACAATTAAAATATAATATTTCCTTTTAATTAGTTTGTCCTGATATTTTCTGGGTGATAATCTGAGGTGGTGAACTTCCAGTCTCTGGAAAAAGGTAGTTTGTTTTTAATATCAATCTGAATTTAGAAGGGATAAAAGTGAAAATGTGATATTTTACTTTGAAATTCTACTTGACATTGACATTCATTTTATTACTTATCATACTTCATTCAGTTCAATTAATTTTGTGTATTTTAATTAATTTAGGGCTGTAACGAATCTCGAACCAAAACCGAAACTGCGGTCCAGATGTCCTATGACGGCTGCTACAATGATTATAGATAGCGGAGCTATAATATCTTTGGCTGCTGTGTGTGTTGCGGAGAGATGTCACGTAATTTGGATCTGCTGGTGAGGTGTTTGCCAGGCGCAGTGCGTTAAAGAATATCCTGTTCAGTTCGGGGGCAAGCCACCTCACACTCACTGGCTGGAGCACAACATTGATGTGGGGGATGCAAAATCTGTTAGGCAGAGTGACAGCTAATAAATGTAGGATGTTAGACTCTGAGGTAGAGTATATGTTAAAAAAAATATTTTTGCTGTGCGATCTTCTTCCAGCTGGGCCTCTCCCAGTCTGTTAGTTGTGAAATCTGACAGAACGCAGCAGTTCTGTAATGATTATTGTAATGTGAATTCACCAAAATAACCCAACTAATTTCCTCTAAGGATTGCATAGATCAAGTCGGTCCGGCCAAGTTTGTAAGCCAATATGTTTTGTTGAAAGGCTACCGGCAGGTCTCACTCTCTGCATGTCAATGCGAAATATTTGCATTTATCACTCCCTCCAGTTTGTATGAGTACATGGTCATGAGCTTTGGTCTGCAGAAGGCGCCAGCAACATTCCAGCGGCTAATGAACATGGTTGTCATGTTAATCAGTCCAAGTGGCATTGGAACTAGGCAAATGTTGCAATCAAATATGTTTGGACTTTTGAGATCTAGCATTTGTTAGACTTTGAAGATCTCATATGACTTTTAAGAATAGTAACCCTCAGGCTTAACATAGTTTAACCATGTTTAAATAGCCAAATTATTCTTAAAACATTTACAAAGCTATTTCAGTTTTTGTCTTTGTTTGACTTTGAAGATACCTCATTAGCCTGCAACCCAGCAGCCTCAGACAAATGTGGACTAGTGCAAATGGCTGATTCTTGACTTTATCCAGGAAGTAAGGTGGTGTACAAATTCAGGAAATTTGCTTTAAATTACTTAATATTTGATTTTCTCAAGGAGGACCACCTGACTGCCAATTATGTATCTTCCCCATTTTAAACAGGACAAGATGCTCTGCACAGGTTTGGACCTTTTTAAACTTTATCTGCTTACATATAGGTTTACGTTGACCATGTTCATGAGTCCATGTGAACACCCTAGTCTTGTAGTTTTCATGACCTTGGACTACAAGTTCATTAGTTGTGATATGTTTGACAATTTCAGAAATGACAGATGTTGTGGTAAAGTTTTTGTTTGACGGTAAATTCATATATTATAATTTTAGTCATATGGAGTTTTGCTTTGCTATTTTATAATACATATGGGATAAAAGTCAATATTCCTGCTCCCTCTGTCATTATGCCTTGTCATGTACTGCATTGTTATCTGAATGCTTGCTTACTATATTGTTAGCCTCTGTGGCTTTTAAACACTGACTGTAATTTTAATGTTAACACACCAACAACTCCCACATAGTACTCATAAGATCAGGAGTTCCATTTGTACAATCAATTCACATGAGCACACTAACTAAAGGGGACTGCAGGTTCATCCTAATGATGAATAAAGCACTGAAAATAA